CCATATAAAAGCACGCACACACAACCTACCCCTACGAGCACCTCCGAGAGACTGAGCCAACTAGCATCTTGAGACCTTAAGAAGTCATCATAGGCGTCTCACAGTCGACGGGACGTCTCCTCCCACCGAACGAACATTACCGAAAGTTTGAAATAAATCCAGAAATAATATAAACACCAATGTCAAGTCTTGGACTTGAACCCTGTTGGGTTGGGGATATCACTGTCTTCATAACCATTCTAATTGTATGTTTTTCAATAGTGTATATGCTCAGGAAAGGGTCCGATTTTTAAGTAAGATATGAAGTGCACAGTGCAGGTCAGACCCCGACATGTTGTTCTCATGTATAAGCCATTGCTCTAAGGAGGGAGATCGGTCCGAGAAGTACTTAATTTTTCATGTAGACATAATTTATCAAACATTTACGTTCATCTAACTTGTAAGTTTCTTGGTTTGATGACTGCTGAAATTCTGTGACAAAACCAGCATGATTTGATCCGAGTACAATGTCCTCTTGTGAAATGTTTTTCTTTTACGGTGTGCTCCCTGCAAATTTCCTTCAACGTATTTGCCACTGCCTAACGAAAATTATTATTTTTTAGTTAAAAAAGGAAAAAAAATTATGGCTGCCTAACGAGCCAAGTTTTTTTTTTGAGACAAGCCTAACGAGTCAAGTTTTTTTTTTTTTTTGAGACAAGCCTAACGAGTCAAGTGAGCTTTTGAGCTCGGCCCTAGCGGTGAGCAGGCTTTTGTCTCGTTTGCAGGTCCGGTCAGGCCTGCCTGACTCGCTTCGGGCCACCTTGCGAGCATGATGACTCATGACAGCCCAGCCAAATTCCCCAATTCACAGCCCATTAGCCCACCTCGCTCTTCTTATTACTCCTCAATTAGGTGATAGAGGCTCATGTCCAGCCGTGTGTGCTTCTTGCCGCCGCCTCTGCTCCCTCCCGCGGGCAACAACGCCGGCCACCGCTCCTGCCGCTATGCACCTCTTGCCCGCGCCTCGCGCCTCCACCAAGGAGCCTGCAGTCGCTAGCCCCGAGGGAAGGGGAAGAACGCCGATGCGGATGACGAACCCAAGCCTCCATCGTCATCCCGGAGCCCGACGACCCTCACGGCCACTCGGACTGCCTCCGTGGACCAGAGCACCGCCATGCATCTTTGATTCTCCGTTGAAAATTCGCGTTTTGTGAGTGCATGCATATTCCATCGATCTTGAGTTTGGTTTTTTCGTGAGATTTGTGAAACTGTCTTGGTGATCCCGATTCGCGGCATACGCCGTGAAAGGATGCCGCTCCCCGAAGGGGGAATAGACATCGATTGCTATGGCTAACTCCAGCCGGATGTGATCCTTTTTTTTAATTGGCTTGAATTGCTTACCACATATGTCACGTGGTAGCCGGACGCGATCCTTGTTAAGAATCAGGCCCGAGCTATGGTACATCATGAAGAATCGGGCCCGAGCTATGGATCGTGATGTACCTGGTCACTATGTTGGCAGTGGCGCAGGCGATCCGGTCTCATTCTCGACCCTCCTGGGTCGAGTTCCGGGTATAAAAACAAAGACTGTGTATACACAACGGATTACAATGTTATAGACACCACATCAACATCATACTAGGTTAAGCATCAACGTAAATAAAGCATATAAAAAATACACACAAGAAAGCTTTACCCGTCGTTGCCTAAGAATCATCAGTGCATTGGCTCCCATAAAAAAGACAACTGCTGATGATCCAGGGAGCATGAACAATATAATTACAGCAGCTACGAGTGCAAGGGGAAACTTGTTAAGTTTTCTTCTTTGGTCTTGCATCTTGTTGATTTGAAATAGCTTTTTGTTTCTCCGCAAGAAAAAAGAAGCTTTTTGTTAATTTGAATTTTCTTCTCACGTGCATCTGTGAGCGCATAATCTAACTTTTCTCTCAGTGATCAACAGTAGTAGTCTAACATTTTGGTTACATAGAACTTTGCTAGATCGGCCCATATCCATGTGTTGTAAGTGAATCCTCTCAGCGTGTGTAATGTTCGGAGCAACAAGATCTGCATACCTAATTGCAAACATAAAGGGATTTGGCATAAACCTTGCTTTCGCAACCATCACAAGCAAAGAAGCTTCGCTTGGGATTCGCTTACAACACATGGATATGGGTGGATCTAGCCAAGTTTTATGCTTTCGCAACCATCACAAGCAATTCAACCACATCGGGCCTCATCAGAGTTGAATTGAGCCTCTATGATGATGGCAGAGACGACGACAAAACCAACTGAATCTCATGCCAACGATGAAGGAGAAGGACGGGAAAAGGGTGCCAGCGCTGGGGACGCACCATGGGCGGCGGAGTTACCCCTAAGACGGCCGGCAGCGGTCTACGACGCCAGCACCCAAGTTATCCTAAGAATTACCTTTGTTGGACAAAATTTAGTTCAAATGATAACTTTTTGAGCGATAGACAATTATAATTTTAAGGATTGATATGTATATAGGGGATCTGCTAGCTACGTAGGGGTTAAATCTCTAAACAATTGTTTTGCCGTAAATATAACTTTGAGGGGATCTCCTAGTGCTGCCCTTATAACGTACCCGTCGGTGTTCTCTTGTATCGTCATAGACTAGCCTTAAATATAACTAGTGCTGCTCTTACACCGGGTTGCGTCGTTCAACCAGGGTGTTACACACAGAACACCGATTGTTCTATCAGTTGGCCCCCCACCGCTACCTTGGCAGATGCGCTGCTTGGAGCCACGATGACTAGTTGC